GACTGGTGCAAACCTGATAATCAAGAGATGCGTGTCATGTGAGAACATGACTACATGCCATAGTCAGGGCGCCAATACATTTCGATGGGACGCGGTGCGCGTGCTCACCGGCGTTCGTTATAGTCGCGTCAAGCCGGCGTTGCCACGCCAAACACTGGTCTTGCTACATGCCCGCAGGCGCGCGCCACGCTGCGTTGTTTTGACGCATGCGCGTTTCAGCGTGTCCGGCGTCCCTCCATCACGAAAAGAGGGAGACGCAGTTTGGTCTGGGTAACGCGCGAAATGCAGGGTGTCGCATTTCGTGCGGGTTGCCGTGGGGCCGTGCCGACAGACGCAGGACGCACCTGGAGTCAGACTATTGAGTGCCCGCGTTTTGCTAACGGTAGCGCCGCTGTGCCCAGCGTGCGCGCGCGTCAACGCTACATGGGAGTATATTGGGCCCTTCATGATGCACTCGCGGCTATTTTGCTAACTCCACATATACCAAATTTGGTGTTACGTGACGTCGATAGATGACAACGTATATGACTGGTGCAAACATGATAATCCTGACACGCGTGTTATCTAAGAAACATGACTAATCCTGACACGCGTGTTATCTAAGAACACGACAACATATCACGCTCATAGCGTGCTTGCAGCCGTTTCGCTAGCTGACATGTACTAAATTTGGTATGACGTGACGTGCATAAATGACGAAGGTAAACGACACATCCAAACATGATAATCATGACACAGAAGTCATGTACGGCATCATTTACCTCCACCTCGTAACGTTGTGCTGATTTTAAAGTGACATATCAACAATTCTCATTCGTGCTTCGCATATCATCGATTCCCACTGTACGTGGGATCTGCCAATTTTTTCCCTATCTAATATGCTGAAGGACGCGCATTAGTATGACGTATTCCTGAAATTAAACGGAAGAAACAAAACCTGGCGTCAATTTCTCTAAAAGGAAAAAACTACAGCGTTCACAGAGCATCAACCGTATAAACTGTAACTAGTCGGCAACTTGATTAATAAATCACTACTATTGAATCAAACATTGATTTTGACTTCCACTCCAAAATTTTTTCTCCCTTATGCAGAATGTCAGCGACGCATGCACGCAAGGTGACCACGCGAACACCGCAGCATGAGTGCGGCAGCTTGAGCTAGTTGGTATGACATGACGATAGTTGTAGCACGAGAACAGGATGACGACAAATAGACACGGACACGAAAGACGCTAGCACTCGGCTCCTTCTTGTCTCTTTGTCGTCATTCTATTCTCGCGCTATAACTGTCAGCACGGGAGATGATTTAGACTCCAACCAAAATTTTAGAAGAAACATTACGTTTCAAAACCAACTTAGTTCTTTCACCAGGAGCGACTGCGGGGCTAGGTAGCAGCGGCGTCTTCAAAGCACTCACGGGGCGGATAATGACCCCCCCCCATCTCTCTCGTTTTGCCGAGGAACGCAGTCCATGGGTATACACTGGGGAAGGGTTCCGAGAGAGCGGTTCATGCTATGGGCTGTCCTCTGCATGTGCCACGACTCGAGTGGCAATCTTCTCCTCCAGTTCGGCTCGCTTTCAAGGATGGCTGTCGCTTCAGTAAGCCCCTCCCACCTACTCTCAGAAATAGGCTTTTCATTCTTGATTTCTGTTATCTTAGCTTGAGGATAAAGCCTCGCTTTTTTGGTTCACTACAACTTCTCTGTGGTAGAATTTTCTTCTGGGGCTGTTTGTTTTAGCTCCTCTTAGGGAACACAGACCATTTTGTTTTTTGTAAAAGCTGCCGTCTAGTCGATGCAACTCTCACACCTCAAGTTAGTACATATAACGGCACAAGTATCCCTCTGTTATGGTTGTTTTTTTTTTTTTGCAGTTAGTTGCACCACAGCATTGCACAGTTCACATTGGTTTTTGGCTCGCTCCACTTCAAATAACAAAATAAAAAGCCCGAATGTAAAAGAAAAAGACAGGCCCCAGTGTGTTGCCCAAACAATGTAAACTATACCCTCGAGGTAGCGAGTAAGTTTCTAATTACCACAACCAAGAAACAGGGGCGTAGCCAGGGATTAGCCAAGGAGGATTAAAGAAAAATTGCTGGAGTGAAAGCTCCCGCAATGCCTTGCCAGCAGAAGTGAAGCCACCTTTTGCCACTGCCAAGATGGCGGAAACATGCTCTTTTCTGATAGTGCCCACTTGAAGATTTGTTATGTGGGGTTTAACGTCCCGAAACCACCATATGATCATGAGAGACGCCGTAGTGGAGGGCTCCGGAAATTTCGACCACCTGGGGTTCTTTAACGTGCACCCAAATCTGAGCATACGGGCCTACAACATTTCCGCCTCTATCGGAAATGCAGCCGCCGCAACCGGGATTCAATCCCGCGACCTGCGGGTCAGCAGCCGAGTACCTTAGCCACTAGACCACCGCGGCGGGGCTTGCCCACTTGAAGATCAAGTGGCTTGGATATGTTATGTAAATTCTACGTTAGTTCTATATTAAAAGAAAGTTGTTCCCGACAAAACAACACACAACAGCGAGTATGGGTGACTGAATCTTCAACGAACTTTGCCTCCGATTAGAGGCTCACTAAGGAAATGTAGTAACTGTAAGACGCACTTGGAGCACTATGTGGGCCGACGTAGTTCACACATTAAACTCGTTGGGCATGCGAGGAAAACGCTTCGTTTTTAATCGCTGAACGATGACACTTAATCATGCCCCTAGTAAGATGGCCGACACAGCCGCCATCTTGCCAGAGGAACGACTTCACTTCTGCGCAATCATTTCCACTCCACCAACTTTTTAAATCCTCCTTGGGATTAGCAAACCGGGCCGTGCACCCCCCCCCCCCCTCCCTTCCTCTCCCTGAAATTTTTTCGCCATGGCATAGAGAGCACATGATGGTCATTTCAAGGGGGTTACCTCTCCCCAAAACAACGCAACGCCTCCACCCCCCCCCCCCCCCCCCCCAAAAAAAAAAAAACACTACGCGAGGTTTATGACCAGGCTAGTTGGCGAAGATCCATAATAGCCCAGCGCACTCACTTCGTCTGAGTCGTTCACCGTGATCTATTCTGGGTATGCCCCTGCCAGTAATCAAAAACGAAATGTTGGAGTGCTACACTAGGCGTGCTTCAGCCAGTGGCCACCAGACGGCGACTCTGCTCGATCTTGAGGCGAAGCAGACGTTACGGGGATGCTGAGCAAATCAGACAAACGCACCAGCAAGTAAAAGCTAGGCAGACGCACGCGCCGGAAAAGTCAACATGGTGGCCCCCATCAGTGCAGTTGTCTTCTGCCTCGATTTTATTGCGTCGTCGGCCTGCGCTGTGTAGCCCCATATTTATTTGCTTTAAAAAGAGCAATGTATTCGTCGGTATTTTGCAGTGTATTTAATCATTTTCATATTCTCGAAGATTAGCCTTAGCACGCAGGGCTAAATAAACAGCTAATTTCCTCAACAAAACTGAACATATTTGATGTTTTTCCAGTGTGAGATGGCACGAAGTGGTATTTGATTTCACCAATTATATAGTAGCTGTGACAACAGTGGGCCAGTAGCAAGCGCAAGTTTGGGTCGAAGCGTACGGTCGCATCTCCATTCATGCTGCCATGTTGGCATCTAACCTCAGCTACAGCTGGTCCAACGTGTTGGCTGGGACATTGCTTTCTTTATTAAGATGCCTGACGAATGACTGTTTGTCTTCAGTTTGACTGTCTGTCTTCAGCGGAATCTGTCTGCCTTCAGTTTTGAGCAAGCACAATGCAGTGGCACACGCAATCGACACTACTATCATAGTGTTTCTTCCTTGTGGCCCATAGCGGCGCGTCAGTCGAGTTGTTCGAGATTTGCAAATATGCAAAGTCAATTCGGAGGCTGTGCAAAATGTCGAGTTGTCGCAATGCACCGTCCGCCACAGGTGGCACAAACCACCAGCACTAACTGTAAAAGGAGGAGGGAAAGGGTGTGGCAGCTGGTTTCTTTCTCATGCAGCAGATATCTAGTCTAGAAGGCATTAGCTGGGGCAACTGTGTGGCACTTACGCATACGTGATCAAACATGGCAGTGCCAGTGCGCCGTTGGGGAGGCAAAGGCGCTCTTCTCTATGTCTCCGTTTCGTAGTGCTCGCTTGTGTCACATCAAGCACCAAGTTGCCCAAACACATGTATTACAGAGAAGGTACGCGTAGTTTAATGTCATGATCTGCAGTTGCCGCATGTCGTATCATGGCAGCATGCAGGCAAACCCCATGTATAGCATAAGTCATGCATAACAGGAAGGTGGAACAGTCAGAATGATGGAAAGGAGGTAAATATTAGCATAGCCATGTATCATGTCACATAGCCTAAACCATGAATATGGATGTGTTTCAGTGCCGCCGCATAGGGCTGTTAATTTTCGTGGTTCGCATCTTTAAGAATTGAATGCACAGTGTTATGGTAGACACGCTTACACATAAAACAATTGTGTTGGTGGAGACTATGTTTTATGGTTTTACTAATACAAAAAAAAAAACATGGGCTTAGCAGCCCAAGGTGGCGGCGCCCACATGTCTTAGGGAAAAAAATCTATAGCGTAGCAAGTGAGCAGAAAAAGGAAATCAGGCCGAGACACAAGACAGTAATAAACATAGCATGGTATAGCATTGCCAAGCATAGTATAGTACAGCAAGCGGTGAGAAAAGGAAGTGAGGAGAAGGGAAAGCATGAGAGGAAGCGCACATCACAAATTGAAGTCTGCATTGCTAAGCCCCCTGGCAGGCAGTCAGACCCTTACTTGCTTACTAAGAAAACTGTTCGAGAGCTTGCTTCCCTGATAAACTGTTCTTTTCTTTCCAAAAATTTGATGCCACTCTTGCATTTCGGCTGTCTTTCTGAAGCAGTACAATTCATTGAGACCAACAAATGCACCTTAAGAAAATGCATAACCAGTAAATGCAGAACCATTTCAGACAATGGTAGCTCCCTTCTAAAAAAGAAAAACAGCAAACTCACATATAATGTACACAATCGTTTTATTCAATCGCTATTGTGCGTGGCCAGCACCCCAGCCCCGACCTTTTCCTCGACTCTTATTAGATGGCGCTGCACACACACTGAACTACACCGCTCGCAGCATCGCACACTGGACGGCTGCTCACGAAATGGGGGTATCTCGAGGAGATGAATCAGTGTACGCTTCCAAAGCAATGTACAAAACACACAACAGCAGACTGAGATAGTAGCAGAGGAGGATCACGTGGGAGGGAGGGGAGGGGGAACGATTAACACTAACAGGTGCTGAGGGGGCAATAAATAGGCTACTCAATAAATAGGGGCCAGAATCTATCTGGTGGAAGGGAGAGAGGGGTGGTCAGTGGGCCGCCTCAGGGGCGACATAGAGGCCAATGGGAAAGTATTTGATGTGCGTCTGCCACTGGGCACTCAGCTGGAAAAACTTGACACCCGTCCACTCCACGCCATCGATGGACACTGCGGCAAATGTGGGAAAAGATGGTGTTAATGGCAGTGTTTCATATAATGTTTCAAGTCACAAGTATTTTGGCGCAGGTTTTACTTTTAACCTTTCATGCCACACTCATGTCAATTATGCAACTAGAAATTCCAATCACACTCATGGCTACCTATCCACAAACTTTTCAATGCATCTTCAACAAGCTCATTTTATATAAAACTTTTGCTCATCCAAAGCCCAAGCACTATGTAGAATTCCAGCACAGGTGCTCTCGCTCAAACCTTTTATTCCATCCAAAATCGGGGTGCACGTTTCATCCTTTCGGACTCTGCATGCATATCTAAAGGTGTTAATGATATCTAACAGACAATTGTGCCAAGAAAAGTATAGGGTATGTCGTTGGAAGTAGTTGTAATGAAAATGTGAAGAAAGAAAAGTGGTCAAAAAGATAACTTGCCATGTGCAGGCTGAACATGTGAACTAGTAGCTCAGTTGGTAAAGCATCGGAAGCGTCATTCGAAGGTGGCAGCTTTGGTCCCAGCACATGACAAGTTATCTTTCCGACCACTTTTCTTCATATTTAAACTTCTAATAACATTCCTTATGGTATTTTCCTTGGCATGATTGTCTGTTAGATCGCATTAATATTGTGTCTAAAAAGGAAGACGAGCCTTTAATATACACTTTTTCATTCATAGCAAGGGTCTTGTTCTGGCAAACCTGCACACCTTCAGGTAGCATACGAGGAATTATTGAGCTGCCAGTTCCGTAATAAGATCACATACTACCCAACGCCAAACAGGCAGAAGGAAGTGTTCACGCTGGCCGTCATGGTTACTGGCAGAGCTGATCGACGTTATCGTGTTTGATACACATATATAGCCCATAAACTGGAAGAAGGGATAGCCGCCATAGTAGCTCAGTTGGTAGAACATTGAACAGTTAATCGAAGGTCGCAGGTTCCGTCCCTGTCCAGGACAAGTTATTTTTTCGTTGACTTTTCTTTCTTCACAATTATATTACAATTACTTCTAGTACATACCGAATATTAATTTCCTTGGCATGATTGCTTGTTAGATCTAATTAACATTGTGTATAACACAAAGAAAATGAGGCCTGAAACGTACACTTATTTTCTTTATATTTAGCGGTGTATCACTCATGACAACACCCTTGGGCTCATCACTCCCATTTTCAGGACAGTGTCTCCTCTTATCATTTTTCATAAAGTTTATCACAGTTTACAATTGAAAGATGATCTCTTTTCCAAACCATTCTATACAAGAACACATTCCCCCCGCATAAAAAGTAACAACAAAACAACAAAAGTAAGTCTTTTTTCATGCACTCACTTCACACCACCTGACACGAACGACGTTTTTGCAGTCAGGCAAGTTCGTAGTCTTGATATTGTCACGGGGTCGTGACGTGGCCGAAGACAGGAGACTTTATGTTGGGATTTAACTGTTTATTTGGGCGAACCTGTGCCCGGTAAACGGAAAGTTCGATTACAGTAGCAGTCTTGCACACATAGCAGTGAACGGAGCGTCGGCCGTCGATCAACCACTGACAAGCGGCGAAGCGCATCGGCATTTATACTCTTGCTGTCGAATGTTCTACCGTAATCACTGGCGGTGGCGTAGGTTCCAGAATAATCTGTACAGTTCGCAGAGTAGGCGTGATCTTATCGAAATGATCTACTACAGTCCGGAAGCTTCTCGAAAACTGCAGGCGCGGTTCGTGCTGAGAATTGTGTAGTGTTTTGGGACGATAACAAAACTTGGGAAATGGAACGTGGCATTGCCCCCCTCTGACAAAGGCATCGTCCCGACGCTTTAACTAAAGATGAAGGTACAACAATAATGCAAGAAAGTACAATGAATAAATTATGATACAATAATAATACAAAAAAACACTGTTTCAGTTTGTCAACGCACATGAAACGGCTTGAGGTGCACGACATGGACGACTTCAGGTCGCGATCGGCGTCATTGAGAGTTCGTGATGCCGTCGGGGACAACCACGTAATCAAGTGGGCCGAGACGTCGAACCACCCTGTGCGGTCCGAAGTACCGTCGCAGAAGCTTTTCACTTAGTCCACGTCGGCGTATCGGCGTCCACACCCAAACACGTTCACCGGGCTGGTATTCCACGAAGCGTCGTCGAAGATTGTAACGGCGGCTGTCGGTCGTCTATTGATTCTTGATACGGAGACGCATGAGTTGTCGGGCTTCTTCAGCGCGTTGAAGGTACTCACTCACATCGAGGTTCTCTTCGTCGATGGCGTTGGGTAACATGGCATCGAGCGTCGTTGCCGGGCTCCTTGCATAGACCAATTTGTATGGAGATATCTGCGCCGTCTCCTGCACCGCCGTGTTGTACGCGAAGGCCACATATGGAAGAATAGCGTCCCACGTCTTGTGTTCGACATCGACGTACATTGCCAGCATGTCGGGATCGTCTTGTTAAGCCGCTCGGTGAGGCCGTTGGTCTGTGGGTGGTACGCTGTCGTCCGGCGGTGGTTTGTTTGGCTGTATGCCAAGATGGCTTGAGTTAAGTCGGCAGTAAATGCCGTTCCTCTTTCGGTGATAAGGACCTCCGGGGCGCCGTGACGTAGGACGATATTTTCGACGAAGAACTTGGCTACCTCGGATGCACTGCCTTTGGGAAGGGCTTTTGTCTCGGCGTAGCGAGTGAGGTAGTCGGTAGCTACCACGATCCACTTGTTTCCGAAAGCCGACGTCGGGAACGGCCCCAGTAGGTCCATACCAATCTGCTGGAAAGGTCGGCAAGGTGGTTCAATTGGTTGCAGAAGTCCCGCTGGCCTTGTCGGCGGTGCTTTGCGTCGCTGACAGTCCCGGCATGTCCTCACATAACGAATGACGTCGGTGGTAAGAGGTGGCCAGTAGTACCTTTCTTGTATCCTCGCAAACGTGCGAGAAACACCGAGGTGCCCTATTGTCGGATCATCATGCAGGGCCTGCAGGAGTTCTGGTCGCAAAGCTGAAAGCACCACAAGGAGGTACTTAGCTCGAAGCAGTGAAAAGTTTTTCTTTTGTAGAAGACAGAAGACCATTTCGCAGGAAGAACGACGCAAGTGCGCGCTTGAATACCTTCGGGACTTCGGCGGTCCTGCCTTCGAGATATTCTATTAGGGCCTTAAGTTCCGGGTCGGCCCGCTGTCGTTCAGCAAAGTCGTCGGTAGTCATCGTTCCCAAGAAGTAGTCGTCATCCGGGTCGTCGGGTGGTGGTTGGTCGACAGGCGCACGAGAGATACAGTCGGCGTCGGAGTGTTTCTTGCCGGACTTGTAAATGACAGTAATGTCATATTCTTGAAGTCTCAGGCTCTATCGTGCAAGGCGACCTGAAGGGTCCTTCAAGGTGGCTAGCCAACACAAGGCGCGGTGGTCACTCACAACTTTGAAGGGCCTGCCGTAGAGGTAGGGGCAAAATTTCGACGTAGCCCAGATGATGGCGAGGCACTCCTTTTCTGTTGTGGAATCATTAGCTTCTGCTTTGGATAGCGATCGGCTGGCGTAACTAATAACCCTTTCAAGTCCGTCAGCCCTCTGCGCAAGAACGGCGCCAAGACCTACGCTGCTCGCATCAGTGCGTATTTCTGTCTCAGAGAATTCGTCGAAATGGGCAAGTAACGGAGGCGTCTGGAGGCGATGTTTAAGCTCCTGGAAAGCGTGTTCCTGAGGCGTTTCCCACTTGAACTCCACGTCGGCCTTGGTAAGGTTAGTGAGAGGATCGGCGATGCGGGGCAAGTTTTTCACGAACTGTCTATAATAGGCGCACAGGCCCAGAAATCGGCGCACCGCCTTCTTGTCAGTGGGCGGCGGGAAGTCGGCGATGGCGGCTGTTTTCCGTGGATCGGGACGAACTCCAGACCTGCTACTAACGTGCCCCAGAAACAAGAGCTCCTCGTACGCAAATCTGCATTTTTCTGGCTTCAGTGAGAGTCCGGACGTCTTGATGGCTTGAAGTACAGCTTCAAGGCGCCGAAGATGCTCGTCGAAACTCGAGGAAAACACGACGACCTCGTCCAAGTACACAAGGCAAGTCTGCCACTTCAATCCTGCCAGTACTGTATCCATAACGCGTTGAAAAGTTGCAGGCGCTGAGCAAAGACCGAAGGGCATCACCTTAAACTCGAAGAGACCGTCCGGTGTTATAAACAGCGTCTTCTCTCGGTCTCTTTCGTCGACTTCGATTTGCCAATAGCCAGTCTTGAGATCCATTGACGAAAAGTACTTGGCGTTATGGAGCCGATCAAGTGCGTCGTCTATTCGTGGGAGAGGATACACGTCCTTTCTTGTGATTTTGTTCAATCGGCGATAATCGACGCAGAAACGTAGGGTCCCATCCTTTTTCTTCACTAACACCACGGGGGATGCCGATGGACTCTTGGACGGCTGGATAAAGTCATCCCGCAGCATTTCATCAACTAGTCTCTTCATGGCTTCACGTTCTCGCGTCAAAACCCTGTACGGACTCTGAAGGAGTGGTCTGGCATTTTCTTCGGTAATGATGCGATGTTTCGTGATTGGGTCTGTCGAATTTTTGACGACGACGAAAAGCAATCTTCGTATTGCAGGAGCAAGGCCTTGAGCTGTTCTTGCTTATGGTTCAGAAGTCTGGGATTGACATCGAAAGCTATGGGAGGGGCTTGGTTCCTCTGAGCAGATTCCGCAGAATCGGCGAGGGCGAAAGCACTGGTGGCTTCGACAATTTCTTCTATGTATGCGACCGTTGTTCCTTTGTTCACATGTTTGTACTCATTGCTGAAATTTGTGAGCATAAGGTTGCTTTGCCTCCCCATAGCTCTGCAATTCCTCTTGCGACGCAAATATTTCGGGTGACCAATAGATGCTGATTGCCTTTACTGACGCCTTCCAAGTTAGGTGATTTAGGAGCGCCGACTGAAATAATGACGCTTGAGCGAGGCGGAATGGTGACTTGTTCTTCAAGCACATTGAGGGCAGGGTTTCTTGACGGCGTGCGCGGCGGTAGT